AAAAAAAAAAAAAAGAAATAGATAAGCGTCAAGTAAAACTAATTTATTAACAACACGTAATATGATATTTCAACACGAGGGGCCAGGAACCAGAGCTTCTTGCATATTTATTACCTCAGTTCTCACAATCACCACTCTATTATAATTACCCCACTTTCCAGATGGAGAAACTGAGGCACAGAGGGGTTAAGTACTGGCCTCAGTGGGTCGGAAAGTGGCCAAGCAGGGTATCCTATCTAGGCGGCGGTCCCCCTGTTCTCAACCTGACCGTTCAGCAAACAGGAGAGGGCGGAAGGCGTTCCGGGGCCGGGAGAAAGTGACTGAAATAGTCCAGGACCAGGGTGGCGGCAGCCGAGGTGGTTTGGGACCTGCTAAGGGTCCGAGCCCTTGAAGGGGTATCTGCCATCCGGCCCCCACTCTCGATTGACCCCCGCGCCTCCTTCTGGCAGGGCTTCCTCGTCGGCGTGGTCTACTGCTTTATCAACAAGGAGGTAGGGAGGGACAGCCCCGGCTCGCCGCCCGCGCCCTCTGGTGGCCGCGCAGGGAACGGCGCGCCCGGGGCCGCCTCTGAGCGACGTTCCGTTGCAGGTGCAGGCGGAGATCCGCCGCTGCTGGCATCGCTGTCGCCTGCGCCACAGCCTCGGTGAGGAGCGGCGCCAGCCACCGGAGCGCGCCTCCAGGACCCCGCCGTCGGGCTCAGGCCCTCGCCCGGTCGCCACTGACCGCACCCCGTCCTTGGGGACCCTCCCAGGGCCTGGGAATGAGGCCAGCCGGGGCTTGGAAAGTCACTGCTAGGCAGCTGTCCATTCGAGTTAGCACGTATTTATTGAGTGCCTGCTGTGTACCAGGTCCAGTGTGGAGGGCACTGGGGAAATTGGGGTGGGGGTGGGAGGGGGGAAACAGAAGAAAAGGTCCCTGTTGCAGTTCACCAATGAGTGGGGGAAACAGCAAAGACAGAACATCAAGTGACACATTCGTTGTGGAATGGCCCATGAAGAAAAATGAAAAGGGAGCCTAAGGTGAGCCAGGAGGATCTCTGTCTCTGAGGTGACACTTAGGCCATACCTGCAAGAGGTGAAGGAGACCACTTTGGGAAGAAAATTCTAGGCAGAAGCAACAGCATCTGCAAAGGCCTCGAGGCAGGAAAGGGCTTGGGGGACAGGTGGCCTGGTGGCTGGAGTGAGGTGAGTCAGCGCCCAACCGATGGGGGGAGAGAAGTGGGCAGGGGCGCAAGATCTGGAGTTTTCTTCCAGGGGCATTGAAGATTCCTAGCAGGAGTGTCTCATGGGCTAATTTTTTTTTTTTTTTTAATGTTTGTTTTGAAAGAGAGAGACAGAGAGAGAGAGAGAGAGAGAGAGAGAGAGAGAGAGAATCCCAAGCAGGGTCCTCGCTATCAGCGTTGAGCCCCACGCAGGGGATCCCAAGAACCATGAGATCGCGACCTGAGCCGAAATCAAGAGTCGGATGCTTAACCGACCGAGCCACCCAGGCACCCCTGATGGGCTAATGTTTTAAGCAGATCCTCTGTCCGCCATGTGAGGAAACCGATTATTAGGGGCAGGAGTGGCCACTGCAGAGGGGGGTGAAGTGGTCAGACTCCGGCGCTATTTTAAAGGTAGAACTGAGGACTTGCTAATGTGTCACACGCGGGAAGTGCAGCCAGAAGTCCAGGAAGACTCCTAAGTTTTGGATGGTGGAGAGGAAAGAGATAGGGAGATGGGGAGTTCAGGGTGGGGAGAATCAAGAGTGCCTTTTGGTTACGTCAGGCTGGGAAAAAGGACCTGGGGCTCACAGGAGGGGAGATAGAAATACAAACGGGGGTAGAACGCTGGGCCAGAAGAGACTTGGCCTGTAGGCTAAATATGGGCCGTTAAAGGCAGGCCTCGGAGCTGAACCCAGGACCACTGCCGGCTGGGGGTGCGGACACACATCCCCACCCTCCTGGGCGGCCCCTCGGAACTGGGAGAATTAGGGGGAAGCTGACAGCCTGTGTCCGGACCACATGTACCCACACTAGACTCTCACTCCTAAGTCCGCCCCTGGCTCACATCTGCGCTTAGATTCAGTTAGTAGCTGGGTGTTTGCCTTGGGGTCCGCAGCCCCCTGGATAGATATGGCCCGTTGCTGCCGAACGGAGTCCTTCAAGCATGTGGTCCCGCTGGGACCCCCTCGTGGGCATTGGGGGGTGCTCTGAAGCAGGGACCCTGTAAATAAAGCATGAGAAATGAGGCTGGCTGCGTGGCCGGGTAACTTCTGGAGGGTAGCACTGCTCTTCAGCCACGTGCTGCCACCGTCCCCCGTGCCTAGGAGAAACCCCGACTGGGAATGTTCTGTGATCTCCCGATACTCAACTCTCTGCCGTGTGTACAATTAAAATTGCGTGTGTGTGCCAAACATTTTCTGAGGGCTGCTTCTCTGAACAATGGCGTAGGAATGGCAAGACTGCAGAAACCACCAGCCTGGTTCAAACTTAGTTTGGGTACTTACTAGGTGTATGACTTGGGAAAAATTCCCAGCCTCTTTGTGCCTCAGCTTCTACTTCTGGAAAGCGGGTACAATGATGGCACCTACATTCTACGGTTGCCCGAGACTCCGGCGAGTTACTCTTAGGATACTCCCTGGTGCAGGGGGCACGCTTTTCCTGCAATCTCTGCTTTCGCTTTCACCCAATGAAGGAAGGGGTGATTAGAAACCATTTGGGCAGGGGCAGGTGAAGGGGTGAGGAAATTCAGACTGATGCCAAGCAGGGTGCCTGAGGCAGGAGCCTTTGCTGCCAGCCCTTGAGGCAGGGAAACAACTTCCCACTTCCTGGGGAGAAGTCACCAAGAAGGGGGAGGCAGGGCAGGGATCTGAAGCCAGGACTGGGATTCCAGAGCCTGTGCTTTCCCAGCTGCTGCACAAGAATCGAATCCTTGCAGGGGTGGAGAGGGGGCGGGGGGTGGGGGGTGGGGCACTGGGAGGAGGTACCTCCTGCAGCAGCACCACTGCTCCCACGTTAGATAACGTGGCTCCATCATTTCCTGAGTGACCCTGGGCAAGTCACTTACCCTCTCTGGGCCTCAGCTGTCTCATCTATAAAATGGGACGGCTCTAGTATCTACTCACCAGATGAGTGTTCCAATTAGATGTGGACCACTCAGTAAATGTGCACCTTTATAACCTTACAGCTGTCGCTTTGTGTCATGCCTTCTCCTGTTACGGGGTCCCTCGCTGTCACTAAGGGACTCCTGGAATAACTCAGGATGTGCCTCCCACAGCTCAGGGCATCAGACATCTCATTTTGTCCTCATCCTGACCCGAGGCCTGCCAACTCCTGACCGACCGAGCGTTTGGCCCCATCTGGAGAACGGAGTGAAAGACGAAGGCAGAGACAGAACAGAGACACGGGTGGGGGAGAGCACAACGTGTGCGCATCACCGCAAGACAGGGATCTTCCTTATCCCCCTCCCCACAATAAGTGAGCCTCCCACCCTGCCTTCCCACCTCTATCGCCCTACGTTTGTCAGAGAATTTCACCCCCTAGATTTGTCAGAGAATTTCACCCGAGGGGGCAATTAAGTTGTAATTCGAGGGCAGCAAAGCTCAGGGTTGAGCCCCAGGCTCTGGAGCAGGGTGGGTCTCAATGACAGCTTCCTGGCTTCCCGGCTGGGTACCTCCGGGGAAGTGCTCACCTCTCTGTACCTCTCAGTTCCCTCCTCTGGAAACGGAGGCCAGAATTAATAGCGCCTGCTCACAGCGGCGGACAGGAAGGCTGAGCGGCACAGGGGCCGGGGCCTGGCACCCTAACAGTTTGGCAGGTGTCAGCTGCGGTCGCTATCAATATTTGGGTACCGACTGCTACAACGGTACCTTCTCCTCCCCTCGGGGAGGGCAGGTCGGGGCTCTCCTGGGTACTGCTGGGTCCCCAGCATGGCAACACAGGCCTGGCACAGGGGAGGCACTTGGGGGACCGTTTCCTGACTGAACAAATGGAAAAAAAGACTGAAAGAAATCCTGAGTTAGACCCCAACTTACTGAGAGAGGGGTAGAGGAAGCGAAGAGCCAGATGCGGTGACAAGAAGCAGCTAGAAAAGATGAAGACAGAAAAATGAACTCTCTGTATCCAACCTGTTCGTTTCACAGACGGGAAAAGTGAGGCCTGGAAGGGGCAGAGACGGGACCTCTTCACCTGCTCAGAGAGGTCCCGATTCCAGCGCCCGGCCCCACGCCCAGCTGCCTCCCTCCCGAGTCTGCCTCGCTCACAAGGCTCTGGGAACAGACAGATGTCACTAAGAAAAACACAGGACTTTATTATTCCCACTACAGAGGGCATGTCTTCGCAGGATGACAGCGGGGACGAGGCCCCTACTTGCCGGCGATGAGCGGGTTCCGCAGGACCACGATGACGGAGTCCCCGCGCAGGAACATCTTGGAGATGTAGCGGTCTTTGTTGACTGGCTTGGACTTCTTCTTGCCCTTGCCGCTCTTGGGGACCTCGGTCCACATCTCCTTCACATTCTCCAGCACCATGTTGCAGTGCCTGGTGGGGGCAGGGGGTGGGGAGGCACCAGGAGTGAGGCAGGAGCCTTCCGCCCACCCTCTTCCAGCAGCGCAGCATGGGAGAAGGTGCGGGCCCGGGGCCAGGACAGCTGGGGCTCCCACGCCACCTCTACAAGTCCTCAGGTTGAGGCTTGGGCAATGAACTTCACCCCTCCGTGCCTCAGTGTCCTCCTCCCTAAAATGGAGCCATTTGCAACACCTCCCTCGTACGGCGTCTCGATGAAATGAATCAATACAGAGGGCTCCTGGGTGGTGGCTCAGTCAGTTCAGTGCCCTCCTCTTGATTTCGGCTCATGTCATGATCCCCGGGTCATGGGATCAAGTCCCGCATCGGGCTCTGTGCTGAACGTGGAGCCTGCTTGGGATATTCTTTCTCTCTCTCTCTCTCTCTC